CATTGAAAATATGCAGATGGTAAGAACATCTTTTGGTGAGAAATGATCAAGTGGTCCTACTACCATCTCCTTAGCACTGGTCCCAGTGTGCCTTTCAGTGATTTAGAACAGTGATTTCCAAAGAGCTGTGACGCACAGCTCCACTTTAATCCAGATTAAACTAAAACATGAATCCTGCAAAACCCTGTTTTTCTTCTTTTTTCCAATGTTTTCTCTTTTAATATGTTGGTTGAGTTGTATTGTTTTCAATTAAATTATATTGATAATATTGGCATATATATTTGTTATTTATAGTAAAAATACACCTCAAACGATTGGCATGCACAGCTAGCAGGATTTTCCAGATTGATTGGAGGAGCAGCTGTGCTCAGCTTTAGAACTTATTTTCCAGTGGTTGCTCAATGAGACATAGTGAATGACTGCAACTGTCTGCAGTTACATAATCAACTTCACATCAAACAGTCCCAATCATTAAAGGGGAGTGTAGTTGATGCGGGGCAGCACAGTGACCTTTTACCTCATTTAATCAGAATCAGCTTTATTGTGATCGCAAACAAAGAATTTGAGTTTGGTACCATCCGCTCACTGCATGACAATAAATACAACAGTGATGATTAGCTAAATTCTGTCATAAAGTGTTGGAGATAAAATGAACAGCATTATTTTAGCCGGCAAACTAAGGATTGAGATACTTCAGAGCACATGCAACAAACTTCTTTATTATCATTCAGTTTAAAGTCAGAGTTAACTTATTCTCATGTGTTATCTGACAAAAAAGGAAAATCAGTAACAGAAAAAAACACAAATTAATAGTGACCGTTTTTCCTTCAAAAGGGCTCATTCATCCAGCTTTTGTTTTCTTCTGGAACAGTCCTCCCTCCCTCCGATTCCCTCTTTCTGCTGCACTTGTGCTCATGATGCTATGTAATCCTCTCAAAAAGCCCATATGAAAACTTTATTGGTTGACCAGACATAATCCTCAGTGAACTCTAAGTACCTGAATATGTTTGATTGTAAGAGAGGGAAAGCGGATAAAAAAAGCAAACCCTGCTCCTCTGCCAGACATTTGGATTCAGAGTATAACATGATCCAGCAGTTATGTGATGTAAAATCTTAAGCCTGCATGTTTTAAATAATTAATCTCTATTCGTCATTTATGACGACACATTTATATTAGCAACTAATAATCTTCTTAAGTTAGGATTTTCAAAAAATTTTAGATGTTAAATCTTGATACATTATATAAAAAGTTTCAATTGTGTGGAAAAAAGCGATAACATTATTGACTCCATTACTGTTCTTACATGTCAGATTATGCAGCTGTTTTAGGAAGATTTTTCTTTCCTGCAGAAGCTACCCATGCAATTCAAAACAAGTTTTTTTTTTTTTTTTTTTGCCTATCGTTCCCCAAAACCTCAGTTGCAGGACATTTTGACTCTTAGCAGGTAATGATGTAAATATAATTTCTCATTTTCTGACAGCTCAATATGTCCATCAGTGTCTTGGAAGTCATATGTAGATGACACTAAGATGAATTCAATTATTGCATCGGGGTTCATGCATGAATTTCAGATTACGGTTACTGGCTTATAAAGGAGACATTTCCATAAATCAGATGCTCTGGGTTTGCCCACAAATGTTTAAAAGTAATTTCTTTAGAATGTCCAATGTTATTGCTAATACTTAAAGTGAATTACTTCCTCTGTATTTTGAAAGCTATTTTTTGATTTCTTTATTATCAAAAAGAAAACTGCTATATATAGCCAGCTTGGGAATAGGGTATGGTCTGATGAGATCAACTATTCCGCTGTTGGCCGAGTAGTCTAGAATGGGAGGACATTTTAACAAAACCAGATCCAGCTGATTAGGAAGGATTTCCTGAAACCTATAATTATCAACATTAACCCACAGCAGCTTCTAGCTATCTTTATGTTATGGTACATCTCTAAAAAACATTATGACAGCACAATCATAACTTTAACTGCAGATAAAAAAGAAGGAAACTTTGCTATTTCTTTCGAAACCTAAACAATGAGCACCACCTTATCCAAAATGAATGTAGACGAAGGAATGCTTAATAAAGTCTATTGGAGAGCTGGGTCTTACCCTGACGTGGACAGCAGAAAATAAGACCTAATAGCATTTGTTTTGATATTTGCTTGTACAGAAAAAAGCTAGTGAGCGTCTTTGATGATGCTCTAGTCTATATTTAAAGCTCTGTTGTTAATAGCGCAATCTTTCCAATAAACATGCGTTTGGCTCTTGGTTCAGAAGCATACAAGTTAGACTCACTTCAGATCTGTCAGATGTTGTTTAATGTGACCATGCAATCAGCAAACTTTCTTTCCTCTTGATCAAGACGTTTTTTTTTCCAAAATCAAAACAAACTTAGATTTTCTTACCGCAACATGACGTGACGGGCAGATCATATCAGCTCATTACGTTCCTTTTTTGCCACTCAAAAAAAACCCAACAATAATAATCAAAAGCGGTCAAAAACTGTATGGCTGCGCTGACTGAATCCAAAAGCTCACCCGGCCCTAATAGCCAACTCCAATATAATCCAGGTGCTGCAGTCACCTGTCCCTAATGAAGGGGCGGAGGCGAGAAACAACGTAAATTATGAATGGCAGCAAAACACAACTAAACAAATTCATAATTTCATAATTAAGTCAGTCAACTTATACTTCAAACCAAAATATTTCATGTTGATATATATCATACCAAAACCAGACAAAAATAGTAAACTAGAAATAGATAGTCAACATAAATCAAGCATTTGGCTCCAACAGTTGTAATAAATGAATAAATAAAATATTATATGGGGATAAATATATGCGGGTAGCAATTGGCTCAACAGTAGAACCACTTGCACACCATATATGGTGGCAACAGTCTTCCATGCAGCTCTGAGTTTGACATGAAACCCGCAACCTCCATAAAGCCTTTAAAAAATAAAATCCAATGAATACATATCTTAAAATAATATCCAATCTTATTCACTTGGTATATTCAAAAAACATTTATTATATAGGGAAACCTGTGTAATTATTCCTATTAGAGACCATTAGCAACATTGATATCAGCTTCTATTTACAGTTGGACCCCTTATCAGAAAAATACGGCTTGTGACCTTTTGCGCAATAGCATGTTGTAGTGATATTGAGTGTAGAGTTTGCTTTTGATCTATACTGTAAGCAATATCATTTGTGGGGGTGTTTTCCTTAATAAATCAGGGCATTATTTAATTTGTTGCCAATTTTCCAAGGCTTAAACCTCACAGAATTACTGCAACAGAGGCTAGCAATCCTTAGTATCACTTGAGTGCACAAGTCACTAAACTACCTAAAAAGTGACACATATAGATCCAACATTTATTCTCCTGGTATCCATTGTTCAAGTAGGATTAATCTACTTTTACTTCAGCACAGACAATATTATTACCTCACCTGTCAATAGCTGTGAAATTTTTTATCGATGAAAACCAGTTCTATAACATCAACACAAAAAACCCCAAAAAGTTTGAATATTATTTTTATTTATCAACATATTTCAAGACATATGATAATTCTAAACCAGTAGGTGTAGCAATTTATTGGGGATTTCGTATACATCAAATCCTCTACATACAATTTCAATATACTGACCATTATTATTTGCTTTTATCACCAGAAACAAACAAAACAAAAAAAAACTGAGAAAGAAAATATGTCATAATAACTCTTATTGTTTGGATGGGTGCATACTGTTTAAGGTTTGCATTTGGGAATAAATCACATGTGCAACACAAGACAAAAATGGGGTTAGATTCAATGTCAAATATGTTAACAATAACAATCCTTTGTTTAATGTCGATTGCTCTTTCAATGATGCATTTGCTGTTCTGTACATTTTTTATAACACGCAATAAAAAAGAAATGAATATGAGGTTTTCAAAACCTACTGTATAAACTTTGATTATGTAATAACCAGTAAATAACAGTGTGCTTTCTATGTTGTGGTTGGACAACATTTCAAACTAGGATTTGTTTATGAAATTGGAAGTGGAAAAAAGACACATAATATGTATTCATATTTAAAGGTCAAAAATTGTAAACGCAAAGGAATTAATTATGTGATACACTAGATGCACAAAAACACAAAAGAAGCATCAAGTCCAACATGTAAGAATTTAACATCTCAGTTGATCTAATAAAATATCTTTGTAAAGGTTTATTGCCTACATGTCCCCTGCACTTAAATAAGTAGGCAAAAGTCCATGTCAAGATAAGAAGCCTTTTTAGTTTATCTTTAGTCTCTCACCTCTCCTATATGTGTGTGCATATGCATTTAATAATAGAGATTTTATTTTGGGGATTATTTTAGTTACACCCAAAATATAGAGAAAATATCCATGGATTTAACATAATTCTAAATTTCAGGGACACAGGCAATTATCAGAAAAGAATGCCATCTTGGATTCTCTTTGGCCAGATGACGTCAAGAGAAATCTTATTTAGCTCAAATTAGATTATTCTGTGGGGACTTTTCTCTTCAGCCAGCAACAACCTAATATATCCTTTAACAAAATAGCTTTCACACAATGAAGAAAAGACATTGTGGTTGAATGATTCCTTTTTTTAAAGTTTCTGTGCCAAATTGATAAATGTTGGTAAACAGTTTTTCATAAAGTAGTTTGTATTTTAAGTTTTATTTTTGTAATTCTTGTTGTATCTATGTATAAGTTCCTTTAAATAACTGTATATTTATTTTAGTTTTGCAACACTGCATTATGAATATTTGGATGAAATCTGTATCAAAAATTAACATGATGAGTTAAAAATTAAAGCCATTCATTGCTTGGCATAAAATAAAATGAATCAAACAAATAAATTAGCAAGTAACATGTTACAAAATGTAACACACTGAATGTTTGGTTGTATTCTATGTGTGAGGCAATAGACATTGACAGCAATTTTTGTAATATCCCCACAGAAACAGTTGCAGAGGTGATAGGAATGTACAGAATACAAGTAGCAAAGGTTTATGGTGCTTACAACACATTGTACAGTACACACTCTCACAGACAAAAACATCTACAACAACAGTCAGCTGTTTATTTGGACTTATTATCAATTTGAGGCACATCGATCTTTTCCCCTGTCAGAAGCTGCCAAATGCCTCCTCTGTAGTTCTCATTTCCCAAAGCATATAGAAGAGGATTAAAGGTGGGTGAGGTCTTAGCCAGGATAGGAGCAATCTGTGGGAAATACAACATTAATATAAGAGCTTAAAAGACGTCACATGCTGATGTAGTGTACACATGTATGCGAATTCTGAAATCTTTGAATAGATGTTTAAAAAAATATAATTAAAATCAGATGCAAAAAGTTAGGGTTATATTTGTTCAGATTTAAAGTGTAAATGGTTAATAAACCGCATTAGCAATGGAAAACAACTCGACTTTTTACTGCTTTCTATTCCAACTGTTCTTACCATCCTCAACTTTGGTGATACGAGGTTTGCATTCTCCACAGCAGCATAGAAAGCCAGGATACCATATGGCCCCCAGCAGAACAGCAAGGACTTCAGCGGGGTGTTGGGGTTAAACTGTAGGTCAATAGTAACAACAACATAAACATTGAGAAGAATGAGTTAAAGTATGATTCCTAAGCCATCCAGCATAAAAGGGTTGGGGGTGTAGACACAAGTGCCATTCATCATGAGATTTCCCTGCCTGCAGGCAGATCACATGCTCAGAGTAATGTCTGAGAGAACAAGAGTATGTTTTAAGATTATTATAAGCTAGAAAGCTGAACAAACCAATGAGTGAAGGTACAGGTTGTTGTAATCCTAGGGTCGAAGCAGATTTATTCTTAGCAACAGTTTAGGCATCCGGAGAAAAAATACTAAGCTAAGCTTAAGCCTTTTGTTTTATGGGTATTAACATTTTATTTTCAAACATTTTAAAACGTTAAAATTATTACCATTCTTTGGGGTTTAGTCTGAATTCGTGTTTGTTTATTTCACTTCCATGGGTCTTGCAATATTCCTAATTTCCCTGTAATTATTTTTGTTAGTATCTTGTCCCTATACCAGTTCATTATTTTTTTTCATGGGATCTGTGATACTCCTTTCCTCTTGGCTAGTTGTTTCTTTGTGCCTCATTCCGGTTCCTTTGACGTTAATAAGTCTTCCTCCCTCAGCCTTCCTGCTTTCCCTCTGCAAGACCTGTTCCTCTTTACTTCCCTAACAAATCTGATTCCTTTTTGATCTTTCACAATGCTTTAGTATAACCTCCTGGTTTTTGTTCATTATTAAATAACTCTGTTTCCAATCCACTCTGCATTTTGGCAATCTGCAAAACATGATATACAAAAACAAGACTTTAATGAATATTTGTGATTTAAGCAAAATTTGGCAACATGAATTAAATGGAAAGACATGTATGGACTTTTTGAATGCTATGAGATCTAAGCTGTAACGAAAGTTAACTTACAATATGTACCAATGTGTGACAGAAAATATTTGGAAATTATAATGTCACACTGCTTTAGTGTAAGCACTCATTTTACTCTGGGCACCTTGTAATGAGAATGTCTTCTGCTAGTTAATATTATTGTGAGCAATGGATCTATGAATCACAATGTACAACCAATGCAATACTCTTCTACTGAGCCGAATATAGACAAAGATATTAACATGTCACCGTGTGCATGCCCTTTTGGTCGCTTTACTAACTCTAAATAGCATCTATGGGAGGTAAATGCTTCTCTAAGGTTTATCCTGAATTCTTTCTATTTGACACCAGACAGACATGTGATTATTTGTATTTATGAAAACTTACTTAGTAGTTTCCATTTTAAATCACTTGCAAGAGAAACTTGATCAAATGTAAAGGTTTAAAGAAACTAATGTCTATGCAGGTGCAAAGTTAAATTGACAGTTCTGAACTTCTCAACCAATATTTTACCTGCTGTTGACAACATTCTTCTTTGTTTACTACAAATCCAGATCAGTTGTAAAGTGTAACTTATTAAAAAATATGGGAAAGGCCAAATCAAACATCTACCATCTTAGGACCATTTAAATCTTTAAACATCAGTGGAATTTAAGCAAATATTATTCAGTAAACCCTGACATCCTTATATCAGATTTGCATTGGGCAGTTAATTGCGCAGAATTTATAAGGAAAGTAGAGATAATAGATGGTGCATCATCAATGACTTTCCTGTGCTAAACGTGCTCTACATTAAGCAATCTGATATAGAAAGAAAAAAAAAATTAAAATCATAATATTTTAGCACTTTAAGTAAACACTATTATAAACAATCTGTTCAGAATTGATGTAGCTGTTCAAAGCAGAGCTTTTACACATAGAGATTATTAATATTGCCCCTACCTTCATTTCCAGTTCAAATAACCAGCAGTTTGTGTATACAAAATACCAATGCAAATGTGAAAACATTTCAATGGTTCATTAAATAGTGTTTGCATAAACTTCTATTATGTTTTTGCTGCTGGAGCTGATTTACAAATAACTTCAGGTCTTTCAATCTTATTTTCTTGACCAAATCTGCTTTTTTTCCTGCATGATCGTTTAGACTATTAATTAAATGCAGCCACCATTAGATTTCACTCTGAACATTTCAAAGGCCCAACATATTATTAACACAACAACACACTGTTTATAAAAAGTTATAAAAGATATTGATACCTGTGTAATTCTAAGTTGTCCTTAGTTTCACATCATTAGACAAAAAAAAAGGTAAAAGAGAGGATAACTATTTACAAAGTTTTGTTTGTCAGTATAAATGAGTAGTCAGAGTCTAGATGATCAGGCAAGAGTCGAATGAACATAACATGAGAGTTTAGACTGCAAGTACTTTAAAACTGTTGTATATGTCTCTGTTTGAGTACCACATATGGACGCAGCATAAATCTGATCTCTTTGAAGATGAAATGATCAGAATTGGGTCTTTCTGACTGCCATAAAAATTTGGATATGAGTCGCATATGGAGAAAACGTATTATTTTGGTTATATTTGCCTGCAGTGAGAAGCTTTAGTGACTATGAGATGAGCTTTTAGGACAGGCTAATTTTACATTTCTACCTTTTTCTCACAAATGTATTAGTGAAATATATTTCCAACTAATAACCTTTTAACGTAGTTGAACTTCTAAAATCCTGAAACATCCCTTTCACTCTGAAATCTCTGTGTGTTTATTATCATCTCTTCTATTGCACAGCATATGAAATTCTTTCCAAAGACTCCCTGTTCTAATAATGTAGGCGGATCATCTTTTATTACATTACTTACCCTGGGGTTTCCAGTCTTTTTGAATTTCTGTGCAATGGACTGGTAGGAGGACAGGACAACAAACACCTGAATCCCCATGTTGAAAATGCTCATAGGGATCAAATATGAAACATAGTTCCTGTTAAATGAAGAACACATGTTAGACTGTGATTGAAATACTTCGGTGCAATAACACATTTCAGTATCCTTTTGATGAATCAACACTATCATTAATGTCCAGCTTATAAATCCAGACCCCAATTTGAATACTCAAAACCTCAAGTTCACCTATAAAGTAAATCACATTGTGAACTTAATAACTTAGTAACTAAATATAGATAGATTAATAACAAAATAAAGGTAAATTTCTCTTCTTAGCAGTGAGAATGTCCTCAGCACTTGCAGCACCTGTCGCCTTTGCTGTAATCCAGAGTGCAGCAGGTCCTGAGAGGTTCGTAATCGTACTCTCCCCAGCCGATAAGGGGCATGGCTGCCCAGAAGGCTGCAAACATCCAGACAACTAGAGCCAGAGAGATGGCACTGCTCCACTGCAGCTTTGTCCCTGGGAAGACAAAGTTTCAGCTTGTCTATTTTAAGCTCCTTTAACAAGTTTGTGCTTTGAAATCTCAGCATTTTTTGTCTTGAATGGCTACATTTGTAGGTTTCAACTTACGTGTACAATACTGATGGTATCTGTCCCAAGCGATAGCTGCTATAAAGTGAAGGCTAGCAAGAGCTGTCATGAAGCCCTGGAAGCCATGAGTCTGGCAGCCTTCTGAGCCATAAGGCCAGTACCTGCAGGAAAAAGGTGAGAGCATGAGGTTGTTGTAAGAAGTAGAATTCACCGCAGGAAGATGTTCCCCTTTGGAATACTTTATTGGTCTTAAATATCTGAAACTGATGTTAATTTGGCCTGAATTTTGAAAGCCTTGCAGCACATAGCAGGGAGGACTCTGTGCTTAATGGCTATCTTTAGGCTAAGGCATATCAGATGACACAGAAAGCTTCCTTTACCCACTCACATGCTGAATAAATTATTATTCACAAGTTTGAATTAAAACAAATAAGGGGGCATCAAGGCAAGTGGTTTTTAAGGCAGGACAGGATTTTGTCATCTTTAGCATTCTTGTCCTGGATAGCATTTTTTTCTAAACAATGATTCTATATTACACAATTTGAAAATCATGAAACCTTAATTTGATGTGTAAAACATAGAAATAAATTGAAGTTTTTGGCTTTTGGGCATACTGAGATTGAGAAAGGCAAAAATATAAATACCAAATAAAAACCCATTAAAATAAGACTAGCTTCTGTTTTTAAAACTTTTTTCCTCCCATGATTGCCACAAGCAGAGGTGTTGTTGCCACTAACTTCAGTACCTGTGGATGATAAATTTAATCCTTTTGTTCCACGTTAACCATGTTTCCTAAACTGATAAAGCCATAGAAAGAGGTACTACCGCAAATATATGCATTCTTTTTTCATTGATAGTATGACTGTCTAAGTTCTGCTTAGCTGTTTGTATTTACTACATAAATCCAATAATGGAACTGTTATTCATATTAAACATAGGTACTCCTAGATCAGTTTATCTATTTCCTTTTGGGTTTTTTGTTTGTGAGGTCTGTCCTCTCAACAACCACTTACACTGACCTGGGTTCTGCTTGAACTGTATTCTTGTAAAAAGGGAGCTAAAACAAATTTGCCCAGAGGGAAAAACCATCTCAAATGTCACGCTTGTAAATGTCTTAATAACTGGCAGAGGTCAGTAGAGTAGCCAGCCTTTGTATTTGAGAGTAGTATTACTTCATTTTTCTTTTATTCAAGCAAAAGGTCTATTCTAAGGATGTTTATTCTTTGTTTTTCTATAAGAGTTTTTCATTTATATATGTGTATTTAATGTGTATTTTGAGCCAGCATCTCAGCAAGATCTCAATTTGTTAATGAAAATATAGATGGTGTGTTACGAATGAGTGAGTGAAGTGCCTTGGAGTTGCTTTAGCTGAAAAGGCGCTACAGTGTATAAGCACAGGCCATCTACCATTTATTACTAGGGGTAAATGACTATGAACTAGAATCGCTTTGTATGTTTAGAAAGCATTAGACTAAAATTCTGATATATTTCTGGCCGCAAGAGCAGCTACAGGGCTGGAACATTAAAATTCTTGTGTACAAAAATAGCTCCTTTGTCAGGTCCAGCAGCAAATTTCAATAAACTGAGATCTTTTTTTTTTTTTTTTTTACTTTGAAACTATAGAACATTTACTTTATTGGCTTTTAGGTATTTGTATTAAGTGTGTTTGAACCTGTGTATTGTGGTGATGTTTAGTGTTAGATGATAATTAATTAAAATACATGTTTTTCTTTTAGGCCTGAAGATCATCCACCTTTTCTCCAACATGTCTTTAATGGATTGCAGAAAATAATTGAACTGAGGGGTTTCTACCAATCTTCCAAAGAATTTTGATGAGGCACCCATATATCAACCTCTAATATCTAAGCTGTGAAATTTTAACTACATTCATCGAAGGAACTATCCTCTGTGTGTTGCTTTTTTTATGTGTAGCATTTCCTAATTCAAACAGTGATCCTTACTTTAGTTTGATTTGAGTGTCTATGTATTTTCTCATAGTTGCAGGAAGTTGGGCTTCCTAGAAACAAGTGTTGTTACATTTTAATTACTTAACACACATCTCTCCCTAAGAAAAACCTATTCTTTCTAGATTAGACTTTGAATTAGTAATCCTAGCTTTCTTAAAATCCCTGCTGGATTATTGCATTTAACAGGAATTAGCCAGGTCACGCCTTCAACTTACACACACCCCACATGCACACAGACACAGACAGACAGACAGACAGACAGACAGACAGACAGACAGACAGACAGACAGACAGACAGACAGACAGACAGATAGATAGATAACCTGCAGTTATGAAAACGATGCTTGCATAACTCACCTCAGAAAGCTGGAGAAAGCTGCAACAGTGGCATTCATGGAGATGCCAATATCTGCCATGGCTAAACTGAAGACCAGGAAATTGCTGGGGGTCCTCAGCTCTCTCACTTTGAGGAAAGCCACTATTGTCACCGCGTTCAAAAAGAAGCCTAGCAGACCTTTGGCAGAGCAGAAAAGAGATATTTACAGTCGTGAGGATGAAAGCCGGTGCGCACAGCGTCAGTTATTACGATACAAACAAACACAGTAAATGTCAGCTGATTTCATCTATTTGTTTGTTTACACCCCGAGGGGGGGAAGTAACCTATATTATAAATGACCTGAACAGAAACCTGGCTTTAATATAAGGGGTCATTCACCGAGAGATTAATGTGGTGCGCCGCGGGCAGACGCCGACTGATATCTGGATGGATTCCCAGAGAAAACACTCACCCTCCACCAGAAGACAAGATCCTAACGAGAAAACATCGAACTCGGAGAAACCCTCCGGTAAAGGATACGAGGTGACCATCCTGGCTGCGATTTTACGACCCTGACTTTTTGTTCCCCTCTCCTCTTAGTTCGCTCGTTTACGGTTCGCCCCAGTGTGACTGTACAGGTTCCGCTTATAAAGGGACATTTCACGTGAAAAGCATGCAGGTTATTATGTAAAGACCCCCACCCCACCCTCTCTCCCTCGCTCCCTCTGTCTGTCGCCCCAATCCTCGCAGGAATGTCTTAATGAACATAACCGCACAAACCGTAGCGCTTAATACGCATTTGCCCCGTCGCAACAATAAAGCCTCAGATAGTTACACAACAAGCCTTTGTGCGTTGGGGTGCTGCTGAGGATGCAGCCGCTGTAGATTATAAAATTACAGTGATGCTGTTATTTTTTTTATTATTTTTTTGCATCAAATACGCTCAACAGGTGTCGGTGAAGATACAGTCTATAACCAAACACTATAACCTATAACCATCAATGAATCAATGCTTTGCAGATCAATTCTTTGATTAGGAGCTTTAAAACCTTGGGGGTGGGGTATGTGAGCGTGAGTTTCACACATATAAACAATAACATGTATGCCCATTCTTCACTGCAAAAACGATCTAGAAATAAGTAAAAATGCCTTAGATTAAGTGTATTTACCCTTAATTTAAGCAGGTACATAAGATGTTTGTCCAATGGAATGAGTATTTCTACACTTAAAATAAGATAATTAGATAATATGCACTTCAAATAAGACAATTCAATTGTTTTTCTTATTTTAAATGTAAATTGTCTTATTCTATTGGCTAAGGGTCTCACTTACCTCCTCAATTCAAGAAAAAAATTCCCTTATTTTAAGAAAAAAATACTTATTTATATTTCAATTTGCAGTGTTCTTTGCAAAATAGCATCATCTTGATGTACTGTATATACCTTGATATACTGTATATATATTGCTATTCTTAATGCACCTTTTTCCTCCTTGTTTGCACCTTCTTTAATTACTATGCCAAGAAGTGACCAGTGAATTTCTCCGCTGTGAGATCAATAAAGCTCATCTAATATAATCTAATGTAATCATATCATGAATTCTGATTGGCTTCCTCTTTTATCCACAGGAGACAAATCCCAACAGCATGATGTTTATATGTTTCGTTGTGGGAATGGGGTGATATGAGCAGAGGCATAGCCAAAATTTTTTTATAAGGGTGGCCAGGCAATAACCAATGTAAACTGAAGGGTGGCCGAAAGTAGATAGGCACCAGAACCTCGGGATGTATCTACAACAGGAAAATTAATGGGCACAACATACATATTTTCTAAATAACTATACTTTTCTACAACCTTTACTGACAAATAGACACATAAATACTTAAACATCTGTGCTTTCTAGATAAAAGGTATAGTGGATACAATTCTTTGAGGTTTGAGTTTTGGGCGAACATCTTTTCCATTGTCATTACTTACCTACTTTTATCAATAAAACTGAATACCGTACTTGTAAAATTGATATTTACAAGTACTTATATCTACATAAATGTATTATTTAGTACATTTTATTAAAATAGCTATTTACCAATCATTTTACTAAAGACTCCTAGATGACTTGCAGAGACCCATAATTTTCTCCTTACCTCATATAACACAAAATCTAGTTCTGAAAAAAGCATGAATTCTGTACTTATCATCTCTGATGTTAGTAGATTGATGTGCATAATTAACCAATTTAAATGTTTTAAATATTCCACTTGAGAGTATTACTGCTGCCACCATCTGTATTAGAGGGGGGGAAATGGTAAGGGTGGCCACAGGGGGGGCAATGATTGGCTAAGGGTGGCCATGGCCATCCCTGTACCCCCCCATCTAGCTCCGCCCCTGGATATGAGACCTTCTCAAAAGAGTTGCATCTACGAGTTGAACTGTCATTCACATTTTTACCCTTTTCATCTAGAAATGTAAGATATTTTACTTCATAACGGCAGCCATGAATTAATCGACCTAAAGAAATTACGTTGAGAAAGCATCAGAGTGCAATGAAGGTATTGTTTTGTATCTTTCTTAATCCTTGATCCCACTTGCAGGGCCCTCTGGGACTGTCAGCCATCTTTCTGTGCAGCTTCAACTTTTGACAGTCACACTGACCTCAACGGATTAAGCCCTCTGTGTATTTGTTTACAACGACAGAGGATAAAAGTAAATCATTTTTTAACCTTCAGCTGTTTTGACCAAAGCTTTTTTTAGTATGACGTTGATGTGCTTCTAGACAAGATGCACCAATGCTAAATTATAGTTTAGAAATAACTGGTCATGAATATACTTACCATTATCACCAATGTGCAATATAGTAAATAGCTTTGTATAATATAGTTGTTAAAAGCATTTGAAGATTTCCATGCCGATCAGCTGAGGGGAAACAAACATTACATTGTGCTGCTCCAAAGATTATGTAAAATAAATGAATACGGTAGATAAAAAGATTATAGAAAATATGTTGCAGGGGGTGTCCAAAGTGAGGCATGGGTTTGAGTCCCTTAGAGTAATTTTGTTAGGCCTTAATGGCGGTTTAGGGATGATACAAATGTAGTGCTCTAGCAAATAAATCTGATAAAAATGCTTCCTGTAGTTTTGTGGAAAATGGTTATATACAAAATAGAATATGTTTTCTATTTTCTGCCATGGTTTGGTTTCAATTTACTTAAAAAAAAAAGTAAAACAGATTAACTAGCACCCCTTTCTTAAACTATTGTATATTGTCCTGGGTTTTGGTTGCATTGCTGTTGCTTCCATCTCTATTTTGCTGTATCTCTGATTTGTCAGCTGTGTTCTTTGCTGGTCAAATTGCTATATGTTCTCTAATGCTTTCTAACAGATCTTTGAGCCATCCCAAACATTTCTCAACCTATTCTGAGATTATATTAAACCTGTAGGTAAATATTCACTGAATACTTTACTGGAAAAAATTGAGGTTTAGTCTGGATCTAGTAGTATTAGAATAAAGAAAGTTGAAAAAAATCACCCTTTTCAGAATTTTATTTGTAAAATAAATAAATGAATGAATAAATAAATAAATAAATAAATAAATAAATAAATAAATAAATAAATAAATAAATAAATGTGTTGTTTTATCTCAGTCTCATTATAATGAAATACACTGTCTGTAATTTCAAATAACCAATTGTGAAAAGCCGTACTGTATGTCTCCATTTGCAATTAGTACACTTCAGCTCCTTATTTACTCTTTGGTTTGGTTTTTTATGTGCTGTCCATATAAACACATTTTTAAGCTTTCTATTATACATAGCTCTGAAATGCTGCGCTCAATTGGTCTGCAGTGCCGTTTTAGTCTAATAATGTTTATTTGCAGCTTCATCTCTTCACCTCCATAAGCCCCTCAGCGAGAATCTGGGTCGTCATACTCCATTTTGTGTAAATTTGACTCTTGGTGCTGGATTATTTACAATCCTGAAAAAGGAGGTCCCCTCACAAGGAACCAATTTAGGTACATGTGCAAAGTATATTTAACTTTAAATGTTTTTTTTTAACACATAAACAGTAACAGAGAAACACAAAGATATCCTAAAACGAGGCTGTTAAAATTGCTGCTGTGGAAGACCTGGAAAGTGCTGCATGATGTAGAGGTGCTGAAAGGGCCACAGGCAGAACAGGAGCAAAATTAGCTTGGACATACTGTATATGGAGGAGAGAGCAAGATTACTATTGGTGGGGAATTTTCATTTCAGTTTATTATAATTTAGTTGATATATTTTGTGCTCTTATTCAGTTAGTTTTAATTAATTTAATTCAATTTTTAGAATGGAATTGCAGGTTTTTTATCAGTTACTGTTATTTTAAGTTAACTAAACAGCTTGAACAGTGAGGTCAGATGACTTTGGCTTCAGGTTTAAGGTCTTGCATTGTACTCCAAAGCCTTTTATTTTTCTTTCTTTTCTTTTTTATAAAATATAAATTTTATCTGAGGAGTACCAACCAGCCACATGAAATTAAAAGTCTATGGTGTGCTGGAAAGTGATTATTAGATTTGAGGGCCCCTCTGATGCTATTCTTTTTTTCTTGAAATGTGAGACTTTAAATAGATTTCTGAGTATATAAATGTATAACTTTGCCTTGTATTACACTGTAGTTATTGTTGGCTTGGCTGCAACAACAGGCTTGAATCAAAGGCAACTTGGCTTTTGCTTTGTTTTTGTAATGTTTTCACCCTTGTGTTTGAGGTGTAGTGTAACAAGAATGAACATCACATGCCTTGTTTTCCATGAGAGAAACTACTCTGAGACCATGGTATAAGCTCAAAGTTTGATGATGACATCCCTGATATTCTTTTTCACTCCCTGGTTAAAATAAAGGTATTAATGCCTACAGAAAACCTTGTATTTATCCATGAAACTACTTTCTACACATGTGGATTATTTTAATGGTGAATCCTTGTATGATATTTTTAAGTACATTTTGGTGCCCTTGTAAGGCAATATGCTGCAGGGTCATATTTATACCCAATTTAGCACCTTTTACTTTGTGTTTTGACTATTATAATAGATTTGAATTCCCATTTTCATTCTAGCTGTAATTATATGAGGTTGCCTTTACTGGTTTCTGTAAATTATATAAAATGTTCCTTAGCTACACACAATTATTTGCTTTTGTGCTACAGTACATGGACATAACTGGTTAACAGGTTTAAAGCCTCTTTCAGACATATAGGGTTCAGTGTAACTTAATCTCACACGTGTTATGAATGTAAAAGGTATTTTTATCATTGTTATAATTCTTTTTTATAAACTCAGGTTGGTTGACTTGGAGAAGTCAAATCTGTTGCTGCAGCATTATTGTCATTTTTATCATCTGAAATTTCAATCTATTGAGGATAATTCAGTTTGCATTATGGGTTAGAATTTGTTGTTTCCAGCGAGAAATATTTTTTGCTTCAGATGTTAATTGAAAATATATTAACAGATGCTTAGATAGTTTCCCTAAAACCATTTTTCTTAAAACTGTACGTTAAGACCACAACTGTTGCTCTGACCTTTGTTTTCATGGAAACCTTTTTAAGGTTAAGTAGATGTGAGATTTTAAAGCAGACCAAACATCTTTTAGGTCCTATTTGGTTTACTTACAGTACAGGCCTCATAGGGCACAACCCTGATTCTGCTTAACCTGGTTTTTCACTCAAATCACTCAAATGTTAGTGATCCACATGCTAAACTTTCATGTTTGGATTTTTCTTTTGTTTCAAATACATATTTTATTTAGAGGACTTTTTTAGAAATATGATCATAGTCTGCATTTTTTATATCCTAATTAAAGCAATAAAGAGAGTGATAGTAAAGAGCTATCTCTCAGATATAAAGTCTACTTCCACTTTGTGCTGCAACCCCTGCCCTCTATTCTGTATACATGCATCAATAAGGTATGATTCTTTTGTTATTTTTTTTCAGATGACTTAAAGCCATCAATATTTGGTGACTAATGATCGTGTTCATTGGTATGTGGCAGGCATCCCCAAAGTCGGTCCTCGAGGGCCGCTGTCCTGCAGGTTTTAGAGGTTTCCCTGCTCCAGCACCGCTGATTTACATTGGTAGTTGATAAACAGGCTTTTGCTGAACTGCAATCATCGCAATCAGCTGTGCTTAAAGCAGAGAAACCTCTAAAACCTGCAGGACAGCGGCCCTCGAGGACCGACTTTGGGGATGCCTGATATGAGGAGTCCTAACTCCTACTAAATGCTGAGAAGACATTATCATTTCAGGGGAAAATCTCACAAGCACAAAGTCATTTTGATTAAAGGTCTGGCTACTGTGAGTGTGAGCTCCCACAAATATCTTGGGTTCATTTCAGACAATTTATTGAACTTAAAAGTTTGCAGTTAGTCTGTATGGGAAAAGGTATGAGCATCTATGCTGTTAAAGGAAACTTTGCCTTTCTAATGAGCTCTACACCATATTGACCCTGTTTTATTGTGCTTTTATTAAATCAGTTTTAAGAAATTTTAGGTGCAATGATCTAGTCTCACAACTTTGAAAGAAAGACATCCCAACCGGCAGATGTTAATGTCTGATTGTTCCCAAAAAAGCCTCATCCCTGCACAATAGGTATCATCCTCTTTACAGAGAATGCCAACATCTTCTTTCTGGGCAGTAACTGTTAGGCAGAACATTTTAAAACAGTTTTGTTCCAATTGCTGTTATTGAAATGCACAAGCTGTCACTCTGAACAGACTGCGTATTTATCTTGATTACTAAGCCTTGGATATTAAGCCTTGCTCACTCTTCTCAGTGGTGTGTAAATGCTCCAAATTGAGTCTGATGCATATACTGTACATTACATGTAAACAATTTTCAGTTAGTTGACATTTTGGTGTCATAAATCTTTTATTTGTGATCTCCAGTAGTTTTATTTTCCATTTCTTTTTTCTTAGAAATCTAATATAGTTCATTATTAGCTACAAATCATACAAATTACTTTGTATGAAAATTAAAGTGTGAAATCAACTTCTTAAAAAATGTTGCTGTAATGAATTACCTTGTTTTAGTGATATTCTAGTTTATTATAATGCAATGTTATAAGAAATATATATTCTTCTAAGATTGAATAATTCCTTAAGGTCATCAATTTTTTATTTTTTTCTTACTTAGGGACTTTGAGACAAGTTAGCTGTATAGGATTTATAGGTTTAATTTTTCTCAAAGTTATAATGTAATGTTTTTTTTTTTAACAATTCAGGAAAAAAAAGTTTTTATATTATCATTTGAAACTATTGGTGTAAGCAGAGATGAGTAGTAATTAGTTACATTTACTCAGTTACATTTACTTGAGTAACTTTTTGAAAAATATGTACTTTTGGGAGTAGTTTTACAGCATTAATCTACTTTTAGTTAAGTAATAATATGATGAAGTAGTGCAACTCTTACATAGGTACAACATTTTTGTTCTCTGCTCACCTCTGGGTGCAAGCCATGCCAAATAACCTGATTCATACATTCAAACCTTAGAGCAAAAGCACCAAGGTTTTGATTTCTAGATAACTTGCGGGTCAGCATGTGGCAAACCCCATTTATTTACTCTTGCATGTCACAGGAAGGCTGAAATGAAGAGCAACAATTCAATGGAGAGGGAAAAAAATACATCATTTTGGATTATGATCGTTTCGGAAGTGTTTTTTTCTACTGATGATAAATAGGGACGTCTCCACGCAGCCTATCAGATCCCGGGATGCTATACGCATCAAAATGAAACGAACGCCAGTTCTTTCCCTAATCCCAGTCTATCCTTTTTATCTCGGGACTCACAGCAGTCTGATCACTATGGGGAAGCGAAGTGGTGGAGCACAGCCATGCGGACGATAGTCCTTTACATGAGAGACAAAAAGTAAGTCTGTTTGTTTTAAGCGAGGCGCAAACTGGGCGCACAGGCACACTGCGTATGCGTAAAAGTGGACCAGGATGTTCCTCGTTCTGCTCCTGGGGCTCTGCGTAGCCACGCTGGAACTTTTCTCCCCAGTGAGCTCATGTCCTTCACAGTGCAGCTGTTTTTACCATAACTTGAGTGACGGATCCAAGGCCAGGTGAGGAAACTAGAGAACAAACTAAAGGCAGTGCCTAATTTATGCGCATCTCTTCGGGTGGTTATAGATCTAGACTTGAGGACAGATGTTTTAACAGACGTTAATTGTAAACATGTATACAAACTATGATTGTGAGAGTTAATCTCAAACAAATTTGATCTGATACAATATAAACACGTTATTTGCGCTCGCGTTTTTAATTACATTTAAGCATTTTAAGCATTTGTTTTACCTGGCCTGAGAACATGTTTTTTTTTATTTCAGCAATCTTATAATTTTATTTTCAGTCTACCTTTAGATCTTATATTTAAATGCATTTTATAAATGTTTCTGTTCCCATTGTAGAAGCGTGATATGCAATGATCCCGACATGTCGCTTGTGCCAGTCGGGTTCCCCTTTGACACATCCAAACTGCGGATCGAGAAAACAGCCATCCAGCAGATACCAAGTGAAGCATTTAGCTACCTCTCCAGTCTGGAATTCCTCTGGATGTCTTTCAACACCCTGTCCGATCTGAGCCCGGAAAGCTTTCGGGGACTGTTCAACCTGGAAGAGCTTCGTCTGGACGGTAATGCCCTCACTGCCTTTCCCTGGGAGTCTCTCATGGATACGCCCAGCCTCAGACTTCTTGATTTGCACAACAACCAGCTCACATCACTGCCCGGGGAAGCAACCACTTATATAAAGAACCTCACCTACCTCGATCTTTCCAGCAACAGCCTGATGACCCTGCCAATGGAGGTGCTGACCAACTGGCTGGCAGTGAAGCCCACGCAAGGTCCAGAGAGCTCCAAGATGATACTTGGTAAGAAATACACAATTAGATTATTTTTTATTTATTATTATATATATTTTTTTACTGGAGGCACGAATATGGGAGGCAATTATGTCAATGATGATAATGGGCAATGATAACAATGGCGTGCCACAGCAAATTGAAAGCAGGTCTTACATTTTTGGATCAAGATCTGTGATGACGATAAATAAATAAAATGGTCACAAAAAGTCAATTACTTCACCAATGAATAAATGGAAAAGTAAACGTTGCATACAAATTTAAAATCTAACTTTCTGTTGCCTATAATTAAATTTATCATTAACCGTCACCCTAATGAGGTACCAGGGAAGAAAAAGCAAAACTTCTATATATATATATATATATATATATATATATATATATATATATATATATATATATATATATATATATATATATATATATATATATATATATATATATATATATATATATATATATATATATATATATATATATCACATTTAATTTAATTTATACTGTGTACTTAGTAGCGACTTGCTCACATATTATTTGGCAAGCAGCAGCTCAGCTGCATTCTGACCTTGATTTATTATTGAACCATTTTGTTAATTCTAAACAATTTCAATATTTTTTGGAGAGGGAGCTGTTTTGAGACTAAAAATTTTTAAGAATTTGTATTCATGAAAAAATATTGCCTTTGACTTTAGTAACTGACAGCAGAAGACAAAATAGCCTTTATGATGGAATTAACTGTTTTACTTCTTTGGACAACATCAGTTAAGATAGTAAGATAAAGTATGAGCGTATACATAATAGCAATAGACTAATACATTGGCCAGTAAATATTTTTGGCCAGTTCTTATTTAATTTTTTTCTGTATTGGTATCTGCCAATAGGTGCTTGTGTTTGCTTATTCATTTTTTGTAATCAGCAGCAATGACGTGAAACCACCTGAATTTCATACATTTCAACTCTGTCTGTCTGCTATTCATTGTTAATGTTTTGTTTGATTTGTTTATAAAGGTTTCATTAAGCAATGAGAAAATCTTGTATCCTTTCTTGTCATTGTGAGATTCTTATTGTGTAACTAGATCAAGAAAATGCAACATTTGCACCATAAATCAGCCTAAAGAAATCAGCATTTCACATTGATTGACTGATATAAAAATAATTGATATCAGCATCGACCTTTAAAAAAAACTGTATTAATCAATCTCTAAGACATTATGTGTGATCTGAGTTTAAATTTAGACCTCAAAAATATAAAGAGTACATTTGTTATAAAAGAAAAAAGGTTTAATAAAAAGTTATAACCCCTTTTCAGGTGTGATTCTGAAGAAAAGCAAATGGAAAACAATAAGGAAAAAGTACCTTTTCTGTCAGTATCATCATCATGATCATCATCATTACCATTATTGCCATAATCATAGCTATGATGTAGTTTCTGAATTAAATGTCAATCCTCTTACAGGATTATCAACATAGCCTCACAGTCACAAGCAATCTGCAGGCTGCTCTTTTCCTATTCCCACAGCTTGACTCATCTGTCTCCTTCTAAAGTGTGTCCTTGTGTCGTCCTGGCCCTCAGGTCTCCATGACAACCCCTGGGTGTGTGACTGCCGGCTCTATGATCTGGTCCAGTTTCAGAAGTCTCCCACACTTTCTGTGGCATTTATTGACACAAGGCTACGATGTTCAGCACCAGAGAGCCTCTCGGGAGTCTTGTTCAGCGATGTAGAGCTTCGCCAATGTCAGCTCCCACGTATCCACACGGCAGTGGCACGAGTCAGGAGTGCTGTTGGGAACAATGTTCTGCTCCGCTGTGGGACCATTGGAGTACCAGTACCAGATCTGACGTGGCGCAGGGCTGATGGACAAATGCTTAATGGAACAGGTTAGCTTGCTATTGTATCAGGCTTCAACCTTGCATCAGATTTGCCTCGGCCAAACTTTTCCTTTTGCTCATCTTACATACAGATAGATAATTTATACCCCACAAATAGTTTTCATAAATTAGTAAATAAGTTTATACAATCCTAACTTGGATTGTTGTTTTTTTGTACAGATAGAAATTTAGTTTTTTTTTATATACTCTGTGTATACAAAATCACAATAAAGTTTGTCTAAGTCTAAGTTTAATTGTTTTTCAATATTATTTATTAATTTCAAAATGCACTTTAATTAATTCTAAACGGCAGAATAACCTGGTACAGGTCTGATCAAAGTATTTTAGATTACTATTTAGAAATTATGAAACACAATATAAATACTCAATTTTCCAAATTGGAAACCGTTATTTGATACTTTTTTCAGTGCTTACACTGTTATCAACAAAAGGCTCTTATGACAAGGTATGCATGGAAATAAAAAGAATAGCTATTTTGAAGTAAAATCAACAGAACCCCAAACCAGTTGCATGATTTCTAAATTTGTAATACTGCTGCATGTGGACTGTTCACTCCACATTTGACATACAGGAAATTTAAAAGCAATTGATCAGAGATAAAAAAAAAAAAATAAAAATAAAAAAAGGAACACAATTTACTGGACAGCTATACATTTTTATAAGAGTATATTTTTTTTGTTGTGCTCTGCCAAGCTGCTCTTTCATCCCTTTAAACATCTGTTTGGAGGATTTTTCAACTCTCTAGTACTGTTGTTAATTAAACAACTACCACTGAAGTCAGCTGGATTGTCAGTCTGTTTGACAGTTGTAGCCTTTACAGACAGTTATGCAACACAGATGACAATTGTTTAATGGATATTGCGTAATAAGCTGTCTTGCATGATTTTATTTTTATCTGCTGGGATTTGTATTCAGACTTTTGTTCATATGCAATATCTAAAATTCTAGAATGTTGTTGTTTTTTCATAATTGCACATTAAGGTTTTTCCCTATTTCTCTGCCACTCCAGTCCAACAGGAAACATCAAAGGAAGGAATCACTTGGTCCATCCTCAGTGTTCCTGCTGTGTCCCATCATGATTCGGGGAAATTCATCTGCAAGGCATCAAATTATGCTGGGAATGCAGAGGCTGTAATTTCTCTCGTTGTGTCTAACCCACCAAAATCAGATGGAAATCTGACAAACACAGACAAAAAGGTCAAAGTCAAGAAGCCAAACCCAGTGGGTAAAGCAGCGTACCAGGAGAAACTAGTGGCCAGATATGTAGTTCCAACCTCCACCTCATCATCTTTTGCCCAAATGGATTCTGACATATTACCTGCTCCAGACCCTGATCCTGAACAGGTCAGTTACACCTCAACTGATGGAGCCAGCCCGGATTCCTTCGCTTCCCCGAACGCAGATGCACTGCTAGATCTAGAAAAGACTAATCTTAGTAACCTAGCAGCCAACACTTCATCCTTACAGCAGGACCCTGACAGAGTGGTCCGTTCTGTGAAAGTTGTGGGTGATACGGACAATACAATATCTCTGAACTGGAGGGCACCTAAAGCAAAGAACACAACTGCCTTCAGTGTGCTGTATGCTGTGTTTGGAGAGCGGGACATGAGAAAGATCAATGTTGGAGCGGGGCAAACCCGTGTTACTATAGATGGGTTGGTGCCCAGGACAAAATACATTGCCTGCGTGTGCGTTAAAGGACTCATTCCAAGGAAGGAACAGTGTGTGATATTTTCCACTGATGAAGCTGCCAGTGCAACAGGTACCCAAAAGCTGATCAATGTGATTGTGATCACTGTGGCCTGTGTCATTGCAGTCCCACTCACCGTGATAGTCTGTTGTGGGGCATTGAAGAGGCGCATCAAAAAATATTGGGGAAAGAAATCTAAAGACATCCAAGACTCATACGTGACTTTTGAAACGTTATCCCCTGGCACGAAGGCCAAAGGGCTTGAGGCTGAGTACTTAAACAGACTGAACCAAGAGGAGTCGAACAGGCTGCTGTCCGCCCGCTCAAGTTTGGACTCAGAGTCAACAGCAAAGATCGAAGGACAGCCTAACGAGTACTTCTGCTGACGTCATGCTCCAGCTCCGGCTCCTGCTCCACGCCATCTGCCTCGCACTCACCCACATCTGCACAATAATCCAAAGGCCAATGCCCATCTGGACCACTCTTATCACCGCCCAAATCTCCACACAGGCCCATATCCCCAGCAATACCCCTACTCTCATTCTATACAACATCCTGACGTCAGTCCCCCTCCCACACAATCCCAAATACTCACAGCGTGGGATTCCCCTCCACCGGTTCCTCCTCGCTGGATAATGCCACCAACTCCACCACCACAGAGACCCAGCTTTTGTCAAAGGACATTTGCACGCTGCACAGTAATGGAAATCTCAGTTTAAAAAAATTGGACAGTTCTAAAAATTCAGCTTTTCTTGCAAAAGCTCAGAATACTGTTATGAAGCCATCTATTCATTAATAGATACAATTACTTTTACATCTAGAATGATGTTTGCATCACTAAGTATTTAAGGAGAAAAAGTAACATTTGAAGTCACAAGCATGACCCAGCAATACAGCTTTTTCAAGCTAAACTGAAATAAAAAGGGAAGACAATGGCACAGACTCCATTGTTTATATGTATCTGTATGATTATGTAAATAGCTACTGAACATTGTACATTTACAGTTCTGTGCCTCTGTATGTATCTATCATAAGTTCACAGAGAAGATATGCACATAGGCATGGTTTCACACTGGTAAAAGAGGGCAGCTGGAGCTGGAGAGAAGTACAAAAAGGACTGAACCAGGACAAAATACGATGGAGATGGAAAGTTTAAACACTTTATCCCCCAACGATGGAAAGATAAAAATCTTTGTAGCCATTTAGAGGCACCATTACCCTTATCTGATGTAGAGTTGCTCATTCTAATCATACCAACCAAGATTGTTAAATAAAGTTTTATATAAATGTATCTGACAATGTGTGTGTTCATCGTTGTGAGTTACTTAGCCTCAGTCATTAAATTATTATTTAAATCTATTAGTTTATTTATTTTTTTTACAGTCTGAGAACCTTGCAGATGATTTTACCTATCATGTTCATGTTTTATGCTTAAAAAGTAGCATTTCTTAACCATTTAATCGTCTTTTTAGGGGCAACTTGTTTTTCCTATATTAAAAGAAGAAAGTATTAGTCATTCCTGATATCATTTTTTACTGTAAGAGCATATGGGTCAACTTTAAAAAAGAATAACAGCAAAAACAAAAAAAGAAAAATAACCTTAAAAAAATGATAATTTGTATTTTGACTCAAAAGCATATACAGTATAGTCATAAATAAATACAGTGGCACTTTCTTTCTAGTTAGCCAATAAAAGATTAATTCAAATCCTTCAAATTAGCTCCTGCAACTGGCTCTATAAATAAATATACTTCTATTTAAGTGGGAATATTATGTTTCAATGGGGAGTATTGCTGAACTGTAATTAGAGTAGAAGAGGAGAGATAGTTTTTAGATAATGAAATCAGAAAAGTGTGGCACATGTTAAGATTCAGCCCTCCAAATTTCAGAAATTGTTTCCTGTTATAGCTTTCTATTAACAATGCCTTCCTTATCACCACTCTGTCCAAATGACCAGATTTGGGAAGGACATAATCAAAAGCTATCATGCTCTCCTCTTCTATTTTATTTGTATAGAAGGATGCTTTCTTTTCAAGAGGTTAGTGGTTGTATCATAATAGTTACACTTTCTGATGATGGATTTAACATAACTTTTGTGGAATGTCAGAAGCTTGTTATCCATTTATTTTGTTGTATCCTGCTTTATACTTTACGCCTGGAATGAAACCAAAATATCTCCATTTATTATAATCCTTCTTTTACTTCTGATTCTCAAAGTTTTTCAATGCCAGGGGGATGTAGTCCCTCTCGTGAGATCTGGGTTTACACAATGTCTCCTCCCAGGTGTGTTCAGGAGGCATCCTGATTAGATACCTAAGCCACCTTTAGTAAGTTATTTTATGGATTTGCACAACAGCTGATATCACACTTAAATTAAAATTCCATGCATGGAGATAATTCTCTAGCTTGGTGAGTTCTGAGCCCAATTGGCTGCAATGGAGTTTACTCAGGTGGTTCAGAGTAAAAGAGGCTTAGAAAGAAAGCACGCCCCAAAAACACCTAATATTTTAAAAATAAAATACACTGAAGTTTGAATATTTCATTTGTAAAAAAAAAAAAAAAAAACGTTTAAAAGTTTAAGTTACATACAAATAAGCTACTTCATATTGGATTCACGTACTTTCCCTGAACTAGGCTTCAGGTATACCTGAATTGAAGCCAACATCTTAATCATTCAGGGCTTTTCCAAAGAATTAGATGCTGCTTGTTCCTGGACAGAATGTCAGGGATTAAGCCTAATAGGCTTCTGTTTTCTGTTGCCTTGGACATCTCTAGTGCGAATGTGAACCTTAAACTTCCTCACAGACCATGGACATAATTCTTTACGTACTGGTTGTAGTTTTAATTAAAACGGAATCGTGTGAAAGCTTTTCTCGATGTTTGATTGGGTGCAGCTGTATTGATGACCGTCATGGAAGGTAAGACCTGAACTGTTTATCTGTCCGAATGTTTTTTTTTATTTTTATTTTTTTTTAGATGCGTTTTAAAAACAAAAATGTTAGCATTTCAATTTGCGACGCTGTCGTAGTGTTTTGACTGTAGGAAGTTCTAAATAATTAAATACGCTTTTCCGTAGGTCACTCATATGTATGGAGGAAGGCGCCTTTGGAGCGATACCTGAGAACCTTCCAGAAAATCTGACCAAAATACGTATAGAAAAATCCCACTTCACTGAAATCCCCAGAGGTGCTTTTTCCAAAACCCCAGCAGTGGAGAACTTGTGGCTAAACTTTAACGATATTACAGTAATAAACTCAAAGGGTCTGGAAGGTTTGGGGAATCTAACGGAGCTTCGTCTGCAAGGGAACAAACTGCGATCAGTACCATGGACAGCGTTCGAGGACACACCGACGCTAAAAATCCTGGACCTGAAACACAACCAGCTGGATGTTCTCCCAGAGCATGCCCTCAAATTTCTACCGGGGCTCACATATTTAGATTTATCCTTCAACCGGTTAACTGTCATATCGAAGGAAGTTTTCCAGAACTGGCCTCTCTACCAGAAAATGCAAAAATACACGGAGGGGCGAGAAGCGACTGCATCCAGGCCAAACGTCGTCCTGGCGCTGCACGACAACGCCTGGCTCTGCGACTGCCGCCTGAAGGGCTTAGTGGAGTTTATTATGTCCCTGAGTCCTCCAATCATACTGATGAATTCCTACTTGACCTGCTCAGGACCGGACTTTAGGACGGGGAAGTTCTTCCATGAGATCGAGATTCAGGCATGCACGAAACCCGTTGTCAGCACGCCGAAGGCGAATATGACCCTGCATCAGGGATCCAACGTCACCCTGCACTGTTACGCCAAGGCAAGGCCAGATCCTGCTGTGTGGTGGACATATGGACTGAAGATAATCAGAGGTTTTCATGGTAAGACTGGGATGGACTGTCAGCTACACAGCAGCTAAGGCGATAAAATGGTGATAAATTAGATACTTAAACTTTCATTTTAATCAAAAACACATCTAATGATTTTTTAAGATTAAAATAGTTTTATCTGTATAAACAAACCGTTATTTAAGACGGTAGAAAAATTAAGTGGTGGCATTTACATAATCTCGGGTCATGGAGAGATTTCTTCAGTCAAATAACAGAAGCTTATAAGGAGATATTTCCCGTCCATTATATGGTTTCCATTGTACGGAGCCCCTCTGATGACATGGTCAAAAAAAATGTTTAATTGTGGCCACGAAGTAGTATTTCGTGCGCACGAAGTAGTATTTCGTGGCCACGCAATAAGTATTACGTGCGCACGAAATACTTATTAATAATATTAATATCATTCCTGGACAACTGGGTAAGCAAATCGAGCGCGCCTTAGACCTTAGAGAAGGCGCGCTCGATTTACTTACCCAGTCGGTCTCCGCCAGTCACGTGACATTTGTTGCTAAGACGCTATTTTAGGTGGAAAAGGCGTAGTGTAAACAACCGCAGCATAGCTAAACGAAGGACTAAAGGCCCGTTTACATAGCAGCCTGTCCAAGATAAGTCATTACAGTTAACATAAGCCTGAAAACAGGGGCGGATTTATTGATATTATTAATAAGTATTTCGTGCGCACGTTAAACTTATTGCGTGGCCACGAAGTAGTATTTCGTGCGCACGTTATACTTATTGCGTGGCGGCGAAATACTACTTCGTGCGCACGAAATACTACTTCGTCGCCACAATTAAACATTTTTTTTGACCATGTCATCAGAGGGGCTCCGTACCATTGTTAAAGATCAAAAGCATATTTTATAAGATAACTTGGAGTTATTTTATGGAATACATTCTGCAAATATAAATTTCAGGGCAACCCTTGAATCATTTTCCATGTCTTCCCTATTCTTATCACCAGCCCTAGTATTGTTAAAGCAACCTTATTTGAAGTCAAACTTTTATCAATCTTTTACTTTTACTGTACAAATGTGCAAGAATAATTTCAAAGTTTATGACTCAAGGGTTGCTTGAACACAGCTTTTAGAAATTAAGAAAATATAAATGCCTTAATACAGTTAACATCAACTAGTTACGGTACATTGCATTTTCTAATAATCTGATTTTGCATTATATGACATGTTTTTAATTTTATGTTCATACAGAGTCCCAAGAAAGAGTGTCTGATGACACCATTAGATCCCTCCTCGTTATTCCATCTCTCAGTGCAGCAGACCGTGGGGTCTACACCTGCACTGCTGTAAACTTCATTGGGAACTCCTCTGTGAGTGTCTTCCTGGACGTCCACTCTGCTGACGGTGCTGTGTCATCCAGAATCCCAGGCATTCCAGCTTCATCGGGTGGTGCTGATCAAAATGTCTTCATTGATATTCGCATTGCCAAACAGACAGTGCGTGGAATCTCTATTGAATGGTTCGCTGCCCTAGAACACCCATCCGAAACATGGTTTGTCATCCACTTTGGTCGGGCAGATGATAAGAAAGAAATGACCTACATTGGGCCTGGGATTCACTCTTACTCCATCTCTGATCTGATGCCCGCCACCAAGTATGAAATCTGTGTAACTCTAAAGAACCAGATACCGCGGCCTGGCCAGTGCATTGTGTTTGTAACAGGAAGTGACATCACTGAAATGGAGCAGAGGGAGAAGCTAATCCATATAGTGGTAATAGTTTTAGCTATGGTACTGGCCGTGCCTATAGGCATGTACGCCTGCACCACCGACACACGATTTCCCTGTTTTGAGATCATTATGGAAACCTGGAAGAGGCGACAGAGAGAGAGCAGCTTGCCTGGCATGGAGCGGGAAAGACAGGGCACTTTTGACAGCCTACAGGCCGCCAGTGATGAGGAGCTGGTCAATAAAGATTTCAATGACGACAGAAAGGTGAGGAGGCGGTCCGAAGATAGATTACGTAAAAGCAAAGCTGATCAGAGCAGACTTACTGCTGAACTATATTAAATGAATAGCCTTTAAATTATTACATTAACCATTACATTCTCTAAGTGAATACATTTTCATTCAGACATCCCCTTAAAGACATTACAGAATTAATCCATAATATGATTAAATCTGTAATTGATTATTTATAGATTTATTTATAGATTGTGATTTTATAGACCTGCTGCAAAAATATGTATTTTCTGAAGCCGTATATTATACGTATGAAAATATGCTATTAATTAAGGTATTATAACTTATCCTTGTATTTATGAAACAGATTGAAAATTCAATTGAGATTATTTGCAGATGGATTATTTTACAATTCAGCTATAGAGTTCTGCATATGGCAAAGTTAAACAAATCTATACCACTCTATATAGGAATAGTCCTTAGTTTAAGTATACTAATTTAGCCAAACATGCAGATGGAGTAAATTTTGATATGAAATAAACATTCAAAATCTTTTAATTTGGCAGGTGTTAACCATTTTGTAGTTTTCATATTCTGGTCATTTAGTAAGTATGTGTGAGTAAGGGAGCAATTCTACATTGAAACACAAAACACATTTGGCCTCCCTATAATTGCATCAATATTAACAGTATATATGGTTGATTTTCCCCCTAGAATTTTCAATGTTAGACTCTTATATTTCACTAAAGTTATCCTCACATTCTTAGACATTGCCTTATTGGTATAAAAAAATAATAATAATTTGTTGTAAAACTCCTTTATGTAGAAATTTGTTTTGTTGTCCTGGTCTGAGAAGTAACTAAATTAGAAAATGTTTACCCCCTCATATCACTAAAGTTATATTTACACTGGTCATTTTTGCACAGCCAACCTTGCATACAAAATAACATTTGGATAAGCTACAGGGGCACTGTTTAAAATACTAATGGAGGAGGGCACAAATATGTTCTGGAGGTTCTTAAGTTGTGAATATCTGCCAGAGAGCAAAGGATTTAATTTATGGTAGGAAATATACTGTAAGACTCTACACCTATTCTCTGAAGTTTTCGTAAAAGTCCACTACTCATTAAAATGCCTTCTTGATTATTCTGTTTCAATTCATTATTAGCAAGTTCAATAAATATTTATTTTCAAAATTTTTTCCACCACCAAATCATTACATTTTAGCTGCAGCATTATTTTTATCCATAAACAAAGCAAACAAAAACGTGTTTTCTGGTTATTTACTCTGCAGTATAGATCAATGGCCCATTTTCCTGGTTTTGTTTTAATTATATCTCTTCCTCTATTCTAGGGTAAGGAGTTTGTTGCAAAGATGTGAAAGATGACTGTTGGGTCAAAAGGGTATTTCAAGGATTTGCAACAGTACAGACAACGTGCACATAATCAAATTCTATTTTGTGTATGTTTTTCTGCTCATCATTTATGTACTAGTTTATTTTTGATTTCACATTTTGCTATTTAATATACATGTCAATTTAATGGATTAAAATGAATATGAATTTTATTGCAGGGTTATGTTATCTGGTGTCACAATTTAAACATATAAGAAAGAAAAAGGTCAGCTTACACCACTGTATTAAATGAAAATTCTGACTGATGTGTGCATGTTTTCTTCTCATATGATATATTATTTTTATATGATTTTTCATAGAGTAGCTAAATTAAACATCTGCCTTTGGTATTGTGGACATTTCTGGCTTTAGTTTTCCTTTTACCAAAGCATTTCTGCAATGTATTTGTAGCGCTACCACGGACATCTGCATAATACTGCTACCACCATGTTTAAACTTGCCACAGTGTTCTTGGGTAATAAAGTTTAACTTTGAGTTATTTGAACCTAGCAGATAGCTAGCAATTCAATCTTAAAAGAACATTTGCATTTATCTCTGTACATATTGCCTGCTCATAAAGGGTATACTCACTTAAAACCAAGCTTTTTTCAAGAAACATTTTGCATTTGTCAAAATAATAAATAAATAAATAAACCAAGCATTGAATTTATGTTTGAATTTGACATTCTTTGATTGATTAATCATGATATATAAACTGTATAATGTATGTAAATAATATTCTTGCCAAGTTTCCTAACCCCAGCTATTGATCTCTGCTTGATATTAGAAAATAAACTCTCTGGACATAAGTTTTTGTTGTACTGGCAGACAAAATGTGTCACTTTAAATGTTATTATTTATAAGACCCATTATTAAAAGCAATAACACAACCATTCAAATCTAATTAAAATGTTTTATACAGAATTAGAGTTATGAAAAAATACCTTTATTTTAGATGTATGGTAATTCTCTAACTCAACCTCTCAGATTTATAAATCAAAAGGATACATTTGCTGATTGTCTAAACCATGAGAAGACTGAATCACTATTCTTAAATCCTATTAATTTTTCTATTGGAAATGTAGAGTCATACTCAATACATTAGTATAAGCTTTCCAACAAGGCTTATTAATGGCTCTGTGTTGCCCTTGGATAACAAACCAATATTTTTGGTCTACAAACTACCCCTTTAATTTTTTTTCCAAAGAAAAACACTATAAAGGCCTGAGAATTAGTTTATGACAACAGGAAGACAAAGTTGGGGATGATGAGAACCAGTAACCCCCCCTCATTTCTGTAGAAGGTCTGGATTAAGTGCTGCAACCTGTTCTGCCTGGTCCATATCTGGAAGATACAAGTCGCTAAAATTGGCTTCTTCCCCAGAGTGGCCTGATGCTTCTATAGAGATAGTGCTAGGAGCTCAGCCACCTGGGAGGGGCTTGGAGTACACCTATATTAAGAGGAGTCCCTGAGGTTGCTGAGGAATTTATTGCCAATAAATGGTGCGTCCCTTGGTAAGTGTTCCAGGTATTTTGCACCAGGAGGAGGCACAAGGTCCTGTTCCTGGAGAGGGAATGTCTCAGGCTTCCCCCCCAGAGAAGCTGGAGAAGGTGTCTGGGAAGACAATCTTCTACCTCTCCAACTCACATAGGGATCATCCATATTTTATCAGGGAACCTAACTTCCTAAAAACTAGGATTAAATGTTTTTCTCCTGAAATAAAAAGTTTTGCAATAACGTACATCTTGGAAATAACAACCAGCTGTTATTTTATATAATTTCATTATGCTTGCATTACAATATTAATTTTTGTTTCATTGGTGTTGTAAACTTAAATGTCATGTTTTCATAAAAAAAAAAAAAAAAAATCATAGCAATTAACCCTTAAACAGACACTGCGCACCAAGAGATACACATTCTTTAACATCCTGTAGGGGGTATGCTGGGAGGTTTTTACTGATCAAGTTAGCATTTATCAAAAGTCTTGACTGGTATTGGCATCTAGATCACATAATTTGGTTCAGGCTATCTTTCATCGTTTCGTCAGCCTGATCCGAAAACATCATGGCAGCCAGTGATGGAGAACCTGCTTCCTTGGGGGTAAGTAATCATATATTAGTCATACTTATTTCCAATAAAACATCAGTATAAATTCCTAAAATTAATTAGGCATTTGTCTAAACATTCAGATGAAGAGAAAAATATCCAACTATGTTTGTGGCGTTACTTAGCAGCTATTGAAATGTATGTATCCCCTGAGATACATTGCCAGATTAGGGATAGAAATTTGGTCAATGTGCATTATACAACATTTTATTTCAAACTGGAAGGTATGTTAATAATAACTGCAGTACCAGATATGATCACGCACAGCTTTGCCCATTATAACAGCATAACTGTATTTTACAAAAAAAAAAATCTATTTATTTTCAAGCGGGCATCTCAGCTAGTTCCTTTTATGGGAAAAGAAAGCGAAGCACAGGAATGAGAGTGATAGAGGAGATTCCTGCAAGTTCTTCTAACTCTGAGTCAAACAATGATGAAGATCAGGAAGTAATGTTCAGCCAGCATGAGATGGAGGCAGTGAGTGAAGGCAGTTCTGATGAGGAGGATGAAAGCTCTGATGAGGAGCATAACCAGATGGATCGCAGTATTGGTAAAAAATAAATAAAATCAACTTTAAAAGTGCTATGTGTAATGTAAATGACCAAGGAATACAACAATGTATAATTTATCTTCATCAAATTGAACAGTAATATGTTTATCATTGGGGCTCTGTTTATACCTTAATAGGGCAACGTATCCTGCGAGGTACAACTCATAAAGTCCAAAATATTGAATATATATAAATTTTGAATGTTGAAATATTTTACTTAGGGCTAAAGAGATGAGTGATACAATTTAATTATTTTTTGCAACTTATTTTCCACTCCTGCCTATTTAAGGGTTAACAGAAATAAAGGTTTTGTAGAGAATTAAAATTTAATTATCTATAAACTGTAAATTGAATAACAATTAATGACATTTCTGTTTAAGCATTTTGCATGCATGTCTATTCTCTTGCGTACTCTCTTGTCTGAGAAAGCGGCTAAACGTCATATTTGCACTGAGCGACAAGGACAGATGGCACTTGGGATATGCAACAGCCAATGGCATTGTTCATTTGACATAATACCCAAACACTTACATCCTCTCTAACATCCGTCACTTTATGATTAGATCAGACAAACCAACCCCCTGTCTCTTGCATCTCCTTCTGCTGTTTCCAGTGTGACGTAAAGAGATCAGTGCAGCCATGCTTGGATTTGTTTGGGATCAAGGTTTTAAACAGCTGACTGAGATTGGCAACTCTCTTTTTCTGGTAGGCAGATGTTTTGGTATTGTTCATATGTGGTTATGTGACTTTTAGGGTGCTGTAAGGTTGCAGACCTTTGCTGTAAAAACCTTAATCTTTACATAATACAAGTAAATGCCTGTTTTTATTTTGCTCAGTATCTTTTATTGTTACAAAAGCCTCACAGCTTTAATATATATCCTTTTTTTGTAATAAAACAGCATTTTTTGCTCTGTAACAAGGCTTTAAATAATTGTGAGTATTGAAACATTGTTTATCTCTTTTTTATTTGTTTGAAACTCAAACATTTAAGATGTAGTTAAAGTCACGAATGTTTTCTCTGTAAAGCATAGGCAACTTTAAGCTCTGCAAGCTCCTTTCATATAGCTCATAATCCTGGTTACCTTTGACATGGTTCAATCTATTATTTATACAGGATAATAGATTGAATCCTTTACAAAAGTATTCATATCCCACATTTTTGTTTCTCTCACATGTTATCATACTAAAAATACAACTTTATATATTTTACTCTGAAATTGTGTAATGGACCTCACAGTAGAGCATATTTGTGCAGAAATCGGATTTATGGTTTTCAGTGTTCAACACTTTAAAAGTTGAAATGCAGCTTCAACTTAAATGAACTGCTTCAATTGGTAAGAAGTTGAATCAAGTTGATCAAATTAATATTTAAGTTTATAAGTTGAACTATTAAATAATTACAATTGGGCAAACAATTCAATTACTTGTTACCATTTGAAGCAATACATTTAAGTTAGAGCATTTTCTGTTTAGAGTCTATACAAGTAAAAATATGAAAATAAGATTAGATAGGGGATCATTTGATAAATACTAGGAACATAACATCCACATAGTAAGCAGAAAAAAAATGCCAACTTGCTAGCCCTATAAAAAGCACTGTCAGCTGTGTATTTGAAAAAGAAAGCATGTTAAATGAATTAAGTACAGAAACAACAAGGTCAGTCTCAAAAGTCTTTCCATTTCAGACAGGATCAGGTCAGATAGACTTCTGGTTTTCAGCCAAGAGCAAGTTTCTCTCTGGATTAGAAAAAAAGGGGTAATCTGCAAATTTCATCATTCATGTTACTTGGGTTCAGCTCAAACAGAGTACATGTTTGTTGTAATGTCAAGACTAGTACAGGAATTTACATTGCGGTTTCCATAAACAAACAACCTCTTTTCTGATGTGTTTTCTGCAATACTGCTTTTTTTTTTTTTTAAGTCAACTCCTGTGTGTATTCTCAATATCCATGCACAGAGCATGACTTTGTTCACTTTTATAAGCGAACTGGGATGTGATATTTGGTTTAATTATTGAAGTCATACATACTGTATAAGTAGCTCTACACTTGTGATTTAAAGGCCTGTACTCCTGGTTTCAAAGGCTTAATGATTAAAGATAAAATACTTTCCATTTGTACAAAAGACTTAAAGACTCTCCTTATCTGATCACATTAAGTTGCTTCCCTGAACATTACTTGAGAGATCAAGAGCCATTATACCTCTCAGAAGATGCCTAATCATATCCAAAACCAAAGTTTCAGGCAAGGAGCCAAAGATGTCAGGGAGTAGTTTACAAATCATTTTGGCAAAAAAAGATTTCAGCTATCACAACCATAGAAATGTTTGAACTATAAAAAAATGAATAAATAAAATAATACGTATAATATTTCTTAATTGAAAGATAGATTTGAATAAAATAATACTACATATGGCTGTTTATGACAATATTTTATTTAAATAGAACGTAACAGGCTGCTGACTTAAACTGATATTAATTTAAATTAGAATATAAATACAAAAAGACTTCACAACATATTTGAAGTTTCTGAGTCAATCACTCAAACTCACACCCCTTTGACAGATCTCACAAACATCCACACCCACCTTTTATAATTTGTTGTTGTACAGGTACAGTATGGGAACTTTTGACTTCCATTCATTTGTATGACCTAAATCAGACCCTTACCCTAACCATATTCTACATTTACCTGGCCCTAACCTAATATTCACCTAGAGGAGAACTTTCTCTTTTGTGATTTTAGTTAGGGGATCCTGACAAGTACCTATAAGTCCCTGTAAATTCCCAGAAGTAGCATTTTCCTGGTAAATGTGTCCCAGCGGTAACCAATACAAGCTTATTTTCAAAAACTGGGTATTATGGATCTGGTCAGCTGGTCTTGCAATGCACTTGATAACATTTTCTAGATGGGCAGACAAGGTAAGGGGAAACCCTCCTGGACACAAAGCACATTTTTCTCTGTATACATTTCTGGCATAAATAGAAGAATTGCATGTCTAAAAATAATAT